GGAACTGGAAATACAGTGAACCCAGGGCAGATGAACCCCCCAGGACCAGTGGAGAGAGTGGCGATGGTGGGAGGGTGGAGGGAAGGAGAGGGAGAAAGGGGGAACAGAGGACAAGGTCTACATGTGGCCTCCTCCCTGGGGGACAGACAGCAGAGAAGTGGACGAGGAAGACGTTGGCTTCGGTAAGATATGATAAAATAATAATATTTTATCAATTATCGGGGGGGACGGGGAGGAGGGGGGGAAATGAGCTGACACCAAGGGCTCAAGTGGAAAGCGGGTGTTGTGAGAATGATGAAGTCAATAGATGTACTAATGTGCTGGATACAAATGACGTATGTACAGATTGTGATGAGTTGTATGAGCCTCTAGTAAAATGATTATTTAATTTTAAAAAATATATATATAGGAGGGAAATATTTCAGAAAGTAATAGCTAACATTTTGAGGGCCTGTTACATTCCAGGTATTCTTTCCTGTAATCTATATGTAATAATTCATTTAATCTTTTGATAGGTTTTGTATGAAGATCCCTATTCTACAGAGACAAAAACCAGATTAAATGATTCATCATCCATCTGACAAGTGTATTACGAAGGCAGGCAATCTGGTTCCTGAATCTTTGCTCTTAACGATCGCTGCATTCATGAAGCCCCTAGCAAGGTGGGAGTCGTGGGGGGTCTTCTGTGTGGAATAGCAGCAAAGCTGTGGGTTGCTATTGAGGTCTGTTGGCTCAGGGTTGGCAATTCCGGATCATTTTTGTTTCCTAGAGGCACGGTGGTGTAAGTGTTGGGATGCTAACCCAAAGGTCAGCAATTCAAACCCACCAGCTTCTCTACTGGAGAAAGATGAGGCTATCTGTCCCTGTCAAGATTTACAATGTCAGAAGCCTCAGGAGCAGTTCTACTCTGTCCTGTAAGGTTGATGAGTCAGAGCTGGCCCCATGACAGTGGGTTGGGATATAGTAACTTATGGGTTTTTCTCTTCCTCTTCCTATTCCATCTGTATAGTGTTTTCATCTTCTATTGTTCAGTCGTTTATTTTAAAAGGGAGGGATTTCTCATCTCATTTAAACTAAGAAATAATGTTGAGAACAGGCTAATTAAACTGAGAATTAATGAAAGTTAAGGATGAAGATGCCAAAAGGAGTCCAAACACAAGCCAGAAAGATAATAGTTCATAAGACTAAACAGGTGCATGAAGAGGATGGCGCAGGACTGAGCAGTCTTTCACGCGCTGTGCGCCAGGTCCCGATGAGTCGGAACCAGCTGGAGGGCGCCTAACAACAGCACTACCACCCCGAAGCGAAACCCTTACGAAAGGTAAGAGTCTGTAACTCACTTTCAGTTGACAAGAATGAATCATATGGGCCCATCTGGGGTCAAGGAAATTGGAAATGCATCCTCCATAGGCCCAGGAAGTTCGGAACCTGGGCAGTGGTATTAACACCCACGGCCATATTCCACTGCTCTGGCCCCTAAATATCCATTTGCTCTCTACTTTTCATGAGGGGGTATCCCAAAAAACGGATGCTCTTTTTTTTTTTTTTTAATGTAAGAGGGATAGTTGCACTTGGAGTTCGTACCACAAGATAAGACTGTTAATTAAGTTTTCTATTTAGAGGTTCTGAAAAGATTGCAGAACAGTGTGTGACTAAAAAGGCTTGATTTGGGGCAGACTGGGGACGAGTTTCACCACCACTACAATGCACCTGCTCACGTAGTCATCTCAGTGCACCAGTTTTGGCCAAAAACAGCATGCCTCTATGACCCACTTGACCTCACTCTGTATGACCTCTTTTTGTTTCCACAAATGAAGAGGGACATGAAAGGACAGCGATTTGACAATATAGAAGAGGTGGGGGGGGAATGAGGGAGGTGCTGTCAGTCATCCAAGCAGATGAGTTTGAAAAATGTTTCCAAGAATAGAATCACAGATTTGACAAATGTATTAAGTGTAATAGAGAGTACTTTGAAGGTGTCAAGATTGTTTTGTAAAAAAAATTAGATACATAGCTTTGAAAAAAACAAAAAAAAAATTTTTGGTACCCCCCTTGTATGTAGGATAGCTTCATCACTCTGCTAGAGAGACAACCCAACATCCCACTCAGTCACTGAGACAAGCTTCCAACCCAAGATACCCAGAAAATGTGCTAGCCTTTCCATCAAATCTCAGTATACTTCTTGTGGTCTGTCAAGTAACAAATTAAACCCACGAAAAATTACCTACCCATTATACAAAAGCAGGTTCAAGCAAACAAAAAGACAGATATCCATTCTGGACGGGGCAAAGGGAATGGCACAAGTTAGAAGGTCCTGGATGGAAGGAGAGAACGTGGGGAGCAAACCTCAAAGGGCTGAGAGACCGGGCTTGCTGGTGAGACAGCTGCTGGGACCTCAGAGGCGATGGTCCTTCGCCACCCTTCAGATCTGGATCGGAACTCACGCTTGCAGCTCAATGACCAACCAAACAATAGACCGATGTATAAGAGGCACAGGAACATTCTTGAGATTGGCACATCTTAATCATTTGAGTTGAAAAGGGTCACAGTTCATTTCAGAAGGGTTGGGAAAGGAGGAGTGGAAACAGGCATGATGTTACACTGAAGGTAGTGCAATGAATGAAACAAAGTGTTTGAATTGTTGAATGCAAGGCTGGTGATCTGCTCCGTAAACTTCCCCAATTGCACAACTGTGCTTGACACAATGGATGGATGGATGGTGATTAGAGTTGTATGAGACCCCAATAAAATGATTTTTTTTAAAGTTTTGTTTTAATGGGTGGCATGCAGCAGTTATAGGTCCATAATAATTCTGGAAACCTTCTGGACCACACATTATGAATGACTCTACCGGGTAGTAGAGAAGTTCTTTTTTTTTTTTTTAAACATTTTATTAGGGGCTCATACAACTCTTATCACAATC